GAGAAATAATACTATACAAGTAATATTATTCAATATAGTTCTGCGTAAAAAAATTAAAAAATAATATTTCATATATTAATAGCATTTGTAAAATAAGTAATAAGATTTTTATATGTTTTTTATACAGAATAATTATGTATTCTATATATTTAATGAATTTTCTGATTCTATTTACTATTGCACTTTATTTTTCAATGTACAGACATATAAATGAAAATGCTATGTATATATGCTTATATATCTACAATATCTATTATAATTATAACATGACCTAACATAAATTACATCAAAATTATACAATAATACAAAATAGTAAAAAATATGGAAAGTATGGAAAGAGTTTTAACATTAATATATGCACAAATTACTGCAATGAATTTTTTTCTTGTTTTTCAAGAACTTTATTCTTACATTTGTCATAATGTTGGTATTATAATCTATGAAATTTTTATTTTGCATTTATGTATTATATTGATTGAATATTGAATTTTAACTTTTTAAATTTAAGACTTGTTTTTCATATTATTTTTTTAAATATTGCAAAATTAATTTAATATTTTCTTTGAATAATAGAATCATTATAATTTGTTTATTAAAATAATAGTGAAATATATTTAAAAACATTGAATATATTAATTCTCTTATAAAGAAAATTATTTTTCTTAATTTCTTTCATTACATGTTTTAAATAAGTAGTGCTTTTTGAAATAAGTATTAAATCACAAAATTGTTAGTTATTTCTAAATATTAATACAAATCTGAATATTTGTTTATTATAATATTATAAAGTATGAAACTTTTATTGTATGGTTTTTACAATGAAATAATTGAAAACCATAGAGAAATAACTCTGATAATTTTCAAGTTATTTCTCTATTTCAGTCTTACAGTCTTTGTGACTGTAATTTTAAATCAAAGATTTGAGTAATTAACAAGGGCCAATAATAAAAAGATAATAAAAAGTGACTAGGCAAAAAGACAAAAAATAAAAGATAGGATTTCTGTTTGCAAAGAGAATTCAAAACAATAATTTATTTCATAATTTGAATATTTTTGGCCCTAGTAAAGTACTCTGATCACTACAATTATTTATCCTCACATTTATAATATCAATTTATTTGAAGTCAATCCCTCGCTTCCTTTTTAACTGATAATGATCTTTGATCATCAGTACTTATCGTACAATCATTTACATTAATATTATTTTTTGCTTTAAAGTCAGTCTTAAAATTTGCTTGCAAATTAGTAGTATCATCTTTAAATATTTCAGTATAATGAAAACTACTCCCAGTCTTTGTATTTGTGCTAATATTATTACCAGTACCATTTGAGTGTACTTCGGTAAAGTGCTTATACAACATTACTGTTGTACTAAATTCTGTTTCACATCCAGGAATTTTGCAACTGAAATATGTTCTATTTTAATCATCTCAAAACAATTTTTAATAACAAGTTCAAAAATATTTGAAATTAATATATTAATATTAATATAATATAGATAATATGTTTATTTGATTGTTCATACAATATTAATTATGATTTCTAAACAATTAATTTTATTATATATAACTTACCGAAATATTTCACTATTTTTACTTCCTTGTATTATTGATAGTTTTGAATTAGCATGATTATCCTGGTAATGTTTCCATAGACCAGTTACATTACTCACTTGAGCTCCACACCCAGGAATCTTGCATCTAAATAATACATTTATTAATAATACAATAATACAACAATAAATTTAAATAAAAAAATTAATTTTTTGTAAGATAATCTAAGATAAAAAGATACAATAAAAATTAAAATTTTAAATTATAATAAATTTTATAAAATTCAAGATTGAGACAAACATCTATCATACAAAGCGAATTACAAAAATAAATTTTTTTTATCAGACTATTTTATGATAGAGTTGATTTTTATCATGAATTAAAATCAGATTTTTTTTTTATTTACACAATTATACATATATTAATGAATTAATATTGTCTAAATAATTCATAATAATTGATATATAATAGATTATATTATTATATATCAAGTTATAATAGATACAGTTATATATATATATATATATATATATTATATAATATATATCTATATAAAATAATATTATATAATAATAGCATATATAATCATAATAGTTATTATGTTGATTCATTTACATGTTGATTTCATTAATCAAATCTACATTTTTTCTTAAGAAGTTTTGGATAAAACAATATAGATATTTAGATATCTTATTTCTTATGACTCCTTATATATATATAAAAGTGAAAAAATATAATTTTTTTTATAAAATATTATTCTTTTACACTTACAAAAAAAAACTAACTGTTGAAGCTTTCCCTTGTTTTAATTTTAATATTGATTTATTAGAATTTGAACTAATTGAACTATTATTGGTTGCTATTTTATGACTATCTTGATGATGACGATAATGGGATATGTATTTGTATTTTCTCCCACAGCCATTAACAGCACATTTGTAAATTTCTTGTTTATACCTAGACATGCGTTGTTTTTTTGGAGTATATTCTTCATCATCTGAGCAATTACTATTTGTTTCTATAGTATTTTCTTCAGTTTTCGGAATATCACGATCAAGTTCATTTCTAACAATTCTTTCTAAATTATCTAGTTCAATCCTATGTTCTTGATTTCTTGAATTCATGTTACATATTTCATTTTTTGTATTTTTTGTAATGGTAATATCACCATTTACATAAATTAAACTATTTTTTTCTTGGGAATGTTCAGTTTGTAATTCTGAGCATTTATTTGTATTATTCTCATATTTGGATAGAAAATTTTCTGTATTTAGAATTAAATTCTCATTCATAGAAAATGTATTAGTTTCATTTAAAGATTCATTAGTGGAAGAATAGTCTTCTTTTGAATTGTCATTTGCAGCATTTTGATCATGGGAAACTTCATTTTTTTGTACATTATCATTTCTGAGAAAATTTCGCTCATTATCATCATATTGACATATTTTTATTCCAAAAGTTTCATTTGCTCTTTTTTCATAACATTCTTCTGTGCTTTGTACATTTTCTTCATCTATTGCATTTTCAGGATCTTCAAAGCATATTACTTCTGGTTCAGTTGGTAATGTTGGTGGTTGTCTATGGCAGTTTTCGATATGTTCTTCGAGATTGATACTAGTTGTATGTAAAGATCCACAATTTGTATATGGACATATAAATACATTTGTTTCATTATTATGCCATTCTTGATAATGGCGCCACATACTTCCTGGATCAGATAATTCTTCTCCACATCCTGGTTCTCGACAGCTATAAATTTAATTATTAGTTATATATTGTGATATCATTATTATATAATATTGTAAAATAAAGTTAAGATATTAATATTGCATATTTTGTAATTTTATATATAAATTTTTTTTAGTAAAATAACTTACATAAACCTAATTTTTAAAGCTTCAAGAGCTTCGTGTGTTTTATATTCATCTTGATTGGTAAATGTCTTACCACAACCCCGTTGTTTGCAAGTATATACTTCCTAAAAGTATAATTTAAATAATATATTTTACAAATAAATATATAATTTTTATTTACATAATTTTTACCAAAAATTTTATAAAATACTGATGGATAAATTGATTAAAAATACTAATCAAATATTTCATTTATATTCAAATTACATCTATTTTTTTGTTTTATTTTGCATTTAAACATTATTTTTTGTCATTAAAAGACTAATTAAACACATGTCATAATAAGTTAATAAATATATATAACATGATAATATATCGCTGAGCGATTTGTTTTGAGTTAAAGGTCATTGAACTCATTAAATGGCTCCAGTTTTTACCTTTTTGGGAGCTATTTCCTCAATGGTACGATTTCTAGACACAAATCTGATAACGCTAACTTCAGCAGGTCTATCTGTACATGTATCTGTACCCTGGCCCATCTTGGCCAATTTGCAAGAAAAATGATGAATAACGACCCGTTTCAATGCTCACATAACCTGCATTCACCAACAAGAATTCAGAAAGGAATTTTTCTTGCACCTTGAATGAAAGTTTCAAATACACGATTATTTCTACAAATAGAATACTTTATTGAGCTACTTACCAACAAAGTGCACTCCCATTCGTGCCGAAATGTCTTTTTTTTTTTCACCTCATATTATACTATTGCCAATAATATCAATCATTTGTTGTCATTTCAATATACTCAAGCTACTTCATTGTAAATATGTATTCATCATAGTCTTCTCGTCCACCATTATTATAAATTTTATCTCATATATAGTTGAGAGTCACTGTAGTAAATGCACCTTTCGATGTTTATTCCATCTACTTCATATCAATTCAAGTTAATATATCGATAATAATATCGATAATATATCGATAATATTCGATATAGACATTTATCGATTTTTTAAATATTTTTATTGTTTTAAATTTTTGTGCAATATTAATTTTAAATTTTCAATCAAATATTTAAATATTTTTAATTGATGATTATTTTTTTCATATTGTTTCAATGTTCATGAATTTTTAATTCTTTATAATGGAAAACAAAATAAATAATATCAATGAATTCTTATAATGTTAAAATCAAAAAAATCAAAAAAATTAATTGATGCAAATTTAAAAAAGCAAATTCAAATAAAAATTATTTATTATTACCTACTATTACTATTACTATTATAATATTATTAATTAAAAATAATTATATTATATCAATCACATATATAATATATTAATATTTTTCAACATTAATTTTCAAATATAATATTATATATTTATTATTAATTTTTATTTTTTAGAAAAGTTATTTTCAGATTAAATTCATTAAATTCATGTTTATAATGGAAGATATTAATAATTACCAGTTGCTATGTAAACATTACATTGTTAGTCAGGTCGCTATTAGTCAAGATATGACCAGTCATGTTAATATCGATTTACTTAGCCAGTTTTATTATGAAAAGGAACTGCATTAATGTACATATTAATATATAGTTTTTATTTAATTATAAATAAAATTAATATTGATGTAATTGTAATTTATATATAAAAGAATGTATATTCTTCATTCTTTATTTCTAACAATATTTCTTTTTATTCAAAAGTTTACATATTATGTTCACAGTGAAGGTAAGTATAACCGACTTCTTAACTTTTTAATTTAATGAATAATAAAATAAATTAATATTAATTTTTATATTATTTTTATATTTTTCAATATCCTTTTTTTTATTTTTCAATAAAACATTTTATAACTTATTTTATTTTGGATTTAATTGATGAAATTTAGTTAATTCAAAAAACATATTGATTTTCCTAGTTCCTTCATATTTGAGTTATATGAATAACATATTATTGCTATAATTATATTTTTATACATTATATATAATAATACGAAAAACGAATATATAATAAAATATTATGTAACTAAAAAAGTATAATATTTAATTAGTAAGAATAATATTTTTATATATTTTTATATTATATATTTTTTGATTTTTTATATATGCAGATAATGTGGCAATTAATAAAGATAATGAAGAAGAAAACTCCATACCATCGCAAATAACAGTAACATCTTGGAATGTAAGTTTTCTAAAAAATTTAATGTTAATTATATATATATATGATAATTATTTATATTATAATTATATATAAAATGTTATATATTGTATAATTTATATAATATAAATTCATAAGATATTTTTAAAGGATTAATTCTATAAATCAAAATAAATTGAAAAATTGATATATAAAAATATTGATTAAAACTGAATTCCTTATTAAATTATAAACAATTCAAGTTTACGTTAGATGAAATAAGATAGAGATAAAATGAAACTGCAGTTTCCATTACATTGCGATATTGTTTCAATGTAATTTAAATTATTTATAACTTAATAAATATTCCTCAAGATACTTTCGTATAACTATACTAATTTTTATATTTGTTCTGACGTTTAGAATCGATCTTTCAAAGATATCCTATACGTATTTATATCTTGTATATTTTTTCTGAATTTTCATTTTTTTACATATAGAAATCTATATTTTATAAAATTTAATAAAAATTGCATAAATAATAAAAATATATTTAAAAATTTAAAATTTATAATCTGAGCAGTATATAATATAAAATATATATATACAATATTATACAATATTATTATAATACTTACAATATTGTTCATTCATTTCTAATCTTTAATTTATTAATAATTAATTTATTAATAATTTTTATTAATTTATTTTGAAAAGCAAATTATATTTATGTATGTGGATTAAAATTTTATTAACAAATTTTATTAACTCTGCAATTAAAATGTTTTACATTAATATATCATATTTAAAATGAAGATTAATAAAATTATGAATATTGTCTTTTCCTTTTTCTTGTTTTTTTTTATTAAAAATATATGGAGTTTATTTTTTTATAGGATATGCCTTTCTCAGGAATTGTACATAAAAATGGAAAATGGATTGGTCAAGGATATGCATTTTACATTTTTGATTTAATTAGTTCGAAATTGAATTTCACATATACTATTATTCCACCAAAAGAACATATTTTGGGTAATGAAAGTAGTGGTATTCTTGGATTACTCTACGAAAAAGTATCATTTTAACAATTTTTTATATAATAAAATAAAAAAGATAAGGTAATTAATTAATCATTGCAAAATTTTATTTCATCATAGAAAGTAGATATAGCTGTTGCATTTCTTCCTATGTTACCGGAAATGCGACGATATTGTTCGTTCAGTACTTTATTAGATGAAACAAAATTAACTGCTGTAATGAAGAGACCTCAGGAATCGGCTACAAGTTCTGGCCTATTGGCACCTTTTGAGAAAACTGTTTGGTTATTAGTTTTAACATCATTAATTTTTGTGGGACCAATTATCTATCTTTTTGCTAATATGAGGTTCTTAAAAATTTTTCTATTAAATAATTTTTCATTAATAAATATAAATATTTAATTAAAAATTATTTAACTTTTTTTAATATTTCTAAAATTTTATATTGAAAAATAAACTATTATTTTATAATTGTAATAATTTTTTAATATAGAGCAAAATTATGGCATGATCCGACTTCTGAAAATTTCAGTTTGTCTTCTTGTTTCTGGTTTGTTTATAGTTCACTTTTGAAACAAGGAACAAATATTATTGCTATAACAGGTAAAATATTAACAATTTTAAATTTTATCAATTTATCATTACAATTTCAAATAATTGTAATTTTGTGAAATTGCAGATTCAACGCGAATGCTTTTTGCCACTTGGTGGATTTTTATACTGATTTTGACATCTTTTTATACAGCAAATCTTACAGCATTTCTTACAAGACCTCAATTTACACTATCTATTAGTTCTCTAGAAGACATTGTTCACAAAGAATATAATTGGATCACTTACAAAGGACGCATAGTTGATTTTCTCCTTTCTCAAGTAAGAATTTTAAGTACTTTTAATATTTTATAGAATAAATTTTGTAATAAATAAAATATATATATATATAATATATATATATAAATATATATATAATATATATATATATATATTATATATATATATATAATAAATTATTTTTAGAATCAGCAAAATGACTTAAGTTTATTGAACATAAGCAAACAGCAAGGAAAAGGAATTTTCAAATATTATGAACCATCAAGATCTATTTTAGAATTAGTTAGTACAAGTATGTATCAAATAATATAAGATATATGTAGATAATCTGGTAAACATGAAAAATTATAAAAATAGATGATGCATAATTTTTCTTATTTGATTCTTTTTTTTCTTTTAGAGAGACTTTTTTTAGAAGAGACCCATTATTTAGAATCTTTAATATTCAAGGATTATGTGAATAAGACTCGCGATCATTTAGAACATAATTTACGTTGTACATATGTTATAATGCCTGGTAATATTTTAGTAACTAGTCGTGCCTTTGGTTTTTCTCATGGCTCTACTATTGAAAAATATATCAATAAAATGTAAGTTTTAATTTTTATCTAATTTATTTAATTTGAAAATAAAAATAACTGCTTATTATTTTTAATAATTTATTTTTAATAAACATCCAATCATATATAGAATCAATTTTCTATATATTAAAAACTTTTTAGACATTATTTATTATTGAATTTCAGGTTATTAAGATTAAGAGAAACCGGTATTACACAATTTAAAAAAAAAGAAGATCTTCCATTAGCTGAAATTTGTCCAGTCGATCTCCGTTCAACTGAAAGACAATTGCGAAATACCGATCTTCTTTTGACATACAAAGTTGTCATAGGTGGATACACAATTGCTACAATTATTTTTTTATTTGAATTAATTTACGCGTGTATATCTTACCGATTACAAAATAGTAAAAAAAAAATATGTCTTCCTTGTTACGTTCTAAAAGAAAAAATACAAAATCCTTTAAATAACAATTTTTCAAACGAAAAGTGTATTATTATGTTAAAAAAAAGTCTACCAACAATTTATCAAAATCATAAAAATGTTTTGATACAAGGAAAACGACAATTTATCAATGGAAGAAGTTATTATGTAATAACTGATCCAGTCGGTGATCGAAAATTAATTCCTATTAGAACTCCTTCTGCTTTTCTATTTCAATATACAACTTGATTATAGAATTAAATAATATAAGAATATACATTTAAATTATTTTATAATAATATATTAAACTTTTAATTATATGTTTAAAAATTATAATTCAAACAAATTAAAAATTATTAGTTTGTGTTTTGTAATTTGTTTGATTTTATAAAAAGTTTATTTATAACATATGTATTGTCATAATAAATTACATTAATAAGAACACAATAAAACATAATATGCATATGTATTGTCATAATAAAACAATTGTATGATATATACATTAATATAATTCAATATAGTATAAGATATAAGTAATATAGTACAAGTTTCCTATATTTACATTGATTCAATTCTCTTCTTTGTTTATAATTGTTTAATTAAAATTTATGCTATTATTAAAATTATTTTTATTAAAAACTAATGTTAAAATCAGATTTTTAAAATTTTTAATTTATGCTTTATTTTTATGCTTAATTTTTTACTTATACAACAATAATATATAATTTAATAATAATAACAATAATAATACTATCATTATTACTGTATGTGCATATTCAATAGCGTATTTAAATATAAAGTTTTTTTTTTATTTAAAATTTTATGAATTTACAATTAAATTATAATATTCAACACAGTTTATTTTTTGTAATTGATTCCAAAGTTTTTTTTTAATAATTTTTTTAAAATTATTTTTACTATTCATTTTCTAATATAATTATATTCACATAACCTCTTTTACTTATTACAAATCTTTTATTTTCATTTTTATCAATTTGCATATTTATTTATTTTTTTTAAATCAATATAAATATAAGCATTATGATCATTCTAAATTCATTTATATTTTTCTTTTATAATATATATATTTCGAATATTTATATCTTTATTTATTACAATTATAATATTTACACATATTATTTATACATAATCATTAAAAAAATTGTCTATATTTATATTTAGATCAATTTTTTTCTTTAAAAAAAAAAAAAACGTTAATTATATTTCATCTTTTAGATTTATTACATAAAATATCAAAATAAGATTCCATTTTCACTTGAAAGTCTCTTAATTTGTAATTCTTTATATTACAAATGTACCAAATATACCAACCATAAAAAAAACATTCTGAACATTTATCTTCGTGAATACGAATATAAATCTTTTAATAATAATGTAATTCTTTAAATAAATGAAATCTATAATAGAACAAGTTTATAATATAATAAATATGTTTATCTATTGTCGCCTTAAGAGATTAGATTATAAATAAGATAAAGTTATATAAAAATATAGGGAATTCTGATTTTCGTAACAACTGATTGATTAATTTCTCGTATTATTGGTAATACTGAGTTTAAGATTAAAAAATAAGCAAGTTAGTAAACAATGCAAATAGTAAACTGTACGCTCAATTTACTCAAGCATTTTTGTTTTTTATTTTTATTATTTTTTCTTAAAAATTGTAGATAGTTCTTCTTATTTTATATTTTATTTGACGAAAAAAAAATTTTTTTTATCATTTAAGTTAATGAGTGCGAGATAATTATTTAAAAATAATATATTATTTTTTATTCATTATTTTCAAATTACATGAAATTTTTTTTTGAAATTTCTAATGAAATTTCTAATTTTTATGTTTTGTAGATATTAATAATGAAATATTTTTCAGAAAAGAAGAAACATGGCTGAGAAAGAAATCTGTGGATTTTTAGATGTCAAATATTGTGGTAGTAAATCTAAAGTTCATAAAGTTAAAAAGAGAACACTGGGTCCTTGGAAAGTTTGGAAAAGACATTGGTGTTCCTTTCAAAAGCTTAATTCTGAACTAGGCATTAAAGTACATCTTGATTATTGCATTGGCAATGATAATAATTCATCATCAAATGATAAAGAAAATTTCATAATAATACCATTGAATGCCGTTATTTGTCGTACTCAATCTAGATCTAAACAATTTGCTTTTGGTATATTTCCTATTAAAGAAAGGAAACCATTACTTTATTTAGCTGGTAATTCAGAGACAGAATCACAACGTTGGATGGCAAACATTAGACAACTATTAAAACCTAGAAAACTTAAAATTATAACAGGATCTTATAATGTCTCTATGGTTGATAATTCACATTCTAAGGCATCAGGGTTGACAGGTATTTAAATTTTTATTTATATAAAAATTTATATTTTCTAATATTAATTATTAAAGTATTGTTCAGGATTATATGGTGATTTGATAACCAATAGATTAGGAATTATGATAAAAGATGTTCATTCAGGTGAAATAATAGAAAATTTTGATTGGGAAGAATTAAATCAGTTTCATTTAGTCACAGCAGGACGACCAGAAGATGTTAAATGCATTTGTGTTATTCATACGACAAAAAATTTTCGTGCTGGAATTGGTGAATTACATTTGTTTTGTTTAGAAGCTTCCAAATTATTGCAAGATTTGGTAACTCAGGGTCGTGGTCCAAGACACAAACAAATTAATAGAAAGCCTTTAAGCTTAAGTGAAAGTGATATTAGAATAGTATCTCATGATGAACATTTGCAAAATTATTCAATAGCAAATAAAAAAATGGAATTGAATATATTAAATGAAAGATATGAAGAAATAAGTTGTAAAGTACTTAATAAATTAACTGAGAATGTCTATCAATCAGAACCATATAATTATTATCATATTAGAAAATTTTCTGATATTTCTCTAACTTCTGGAATTTATGAAGAAATATCTGATGAATCTAGTAAAAATGCAGCAGCTACTTCAAGTTTTTATATAGAGCATTTTTTTTATAATCATTCATCAGAAGAACCCCCACCTTTGCCTCCACGACAAAGATGTGCTTCAGAGTCTATGAAAGAAAGCAGGTTTGCATTTATTTACTTTTTTTAAAATTATTAGTAAAATTGTTTAATATAATGTATTACATTTTTTATTACATATATATATGTATTTTTAAGGTTGCCAGATGTTCGAGTTTCTGGATCCAATAGTTTATCTTTAACATCTCATAGAAATTCTATAAAAATTGAAAAAAATAATTTAGAATTTCAAAGAATAATGGATGAATCTAATTATGTTCCTATGTCACCTCGATTAAAAGATATTACATTATTAGAAATGCAAGCAACAATGCAAGAAAATGATTATGTTATTATGCAATAGACAGGACATCAAATGCAGTTCAGTGAGAGATCAATTGATATTTTCTAATATTTTCTTTTTTAAATTTAAATACACATACATTTATATATATGAAAGAAAATATAAAAGCTAATACATGATTGAACTTAATTCGTTTCTATGCAGAGAAGAGCTTAATTCAAAAACTAGTTTAAGCATCATTGAAAATTATTTGTACAAAATTTCATGTATACTTTATTCAAAATTATAAATTTGTACATATGCGAGGCTTGCGTTTTCAGAACTGTATTGGAGCGCATGTTGCAGCTTACCTTTATTGCTTATATTTCAAATATGGCAGAATTTATTTATTTTTCTTAATATTAAATATTCTTTCACACACGCATGTGCGCGCACGTACATTCATATGCATACATAATCATAATTAAAATTCCTAGATTTTATATTTTTTTAAATTAATCTATAATTGATAATCTGTATTTTGAACCTAAGCCGTGATTTGTAAAAATATCAAATTCTTCACGATTTAAAAGAGCTCCACGTACATCATCCAAAACTATCATTTTTGGATATCTATAAATAAAATAAAAAAAGACTATTATAATTTCGTGATAATAATAATAATAATAATAATAATAATAATAATAATAATAATAAACACATTATATATATATAAAAAAGGATGGTAATATAGTTCTCAGTTTTATAATTTTTTTTTTAAATTGTAATTTGTAATTTGTAATTGTTCTAATTTTTTACATAATTATACTTCATGATGTGTGATAATACTTCTTTCATATAATTTAATAGATAAAGCATCCATTAGATGTCTTTATTAAATATGAAAATGAGATATATAGACACCAATTTTACCAATTACCAGCAAGAAGCCATAATACCATTCTTTTCTCTCTATATATATTTGATATTTACATTATAATATATATAAATATATACATGGTTGTAAGATATTTACATTATAACATATATAAATATATAAATTATAATGTATGTAAATATATAAGCAGCATTTAAGCAGATTAAGGAAATATATATTTACCCATTATTACTACATCTTTCCCAAGCTTTTGCTAAAGACATTCTAACTAAATCTTCTGTAAGACATTCAACAGCCTAAAAACATTAAAAAAAATATATAGAAAATTTTTTAATAATTTTTAAATAGAATAAAAATAAATAAAATAATTCATACTCGCATTATCATTCGACTAGCCGCACAATGTACGACAGTGGGTACAATTTCTTCAGAAATTAGCTTAATACCAATTTCTCTAGCAGTTTCACAAACAAAATCATAAAATGGTTCTAGTTTCCTTTCAAGTTCCAATACTGTAATTTTCGTATTTGCATATTCTCTATTTTCTTTTCTTTTTTTTAGTTCTTTTTTATTTTCTAATGTAACATCAATATTTACCACATCAATTTCAATATCTAACTCAGTAGAGTGATATGAATTACAATCAACTAAATTATCATTTGATTGACATGGATTAACTTGAAGCCATTTACAAAATGTATCAGGCTCTGTACATGTAGAAACATACTTAGTAATTGTTGAATTAGGCAAACTTTTCTGTTGTTTTATTGACCGAATATTAAAATTCGGAGAAAGAGGTGTATAACCATGCAATCTTGCCCAAATCATTATTTCTTTAATGCTCCATAATTCTTCTTCTGTAAATGGTTTTTTTTTTAAAAAACACCATATCATTTTTGCTCGGTTCCATTCACAAGCATTTCGCTTTGTTATAGTGTATCTAAAGAATTCTTCTTCGCTTACACAAGCATAAGGATGTAACCGTCTATAATCAGAGTCGGAAGCGTCTCGAGTTATTATAGGCATTCTTCTAATAATAAATCGTAATAGGCCTTGAATATTTAGAATATTTGCAGTTT